AAAATTTCAAATAAAAGGTATTAGGTATTTAGTATTAATTGGGGGAGGGGAGAAATACCATTATGGTAGCACTGAAGAAGGTTAAAGTGAGGAATGAAAAAAGAGGACACGAGATACCATTTGAAAGTTATATTCAGTGTGACAATAGGAACAAAACTTGAGCAATATTGTGGAGAAGGAATCTAATCATTTAGGAGGTAAGATCGCTAAGATGAGGTGATAAACTTATTTAAGATGCAAAAGGGAAAGAAAATAATTGTGATGTTCTTTGAATTGACTTGAGTAACTAGATAATGGGTGACAGCGTGAAATAATGACAAGACAACAGAAAAAGTAGATTTGAGAGAGAAGATAAAATGAACATTTTTTTAACATGATGGGTTTAACATATCTGTAACATTGAGCTGAGGCTACTTAAAACAAAGGTGGAGGAGTAAACTTGGCTTTCTAGAGGAAGGTCAAAGTTGTTGAGAGTAAGTGGGGAGTGAATGAGATTGGTCACATTCATCAGGAAATGGCAGGAATAATACTGGGGACCTCAACATGAGGGTTAGGGAGAAGATCCCCCCACAATTCAATGAAGAAAGGAGGCCAAGAGAGAGTAGTATTGGCTATCAGAGGAGACTATTTAGGAACAAAGCAGTCAGCTAGGTGATAAAAAATCCAATAAAATAAAGGCTGACAATCTGAGCTTTCTCTAGGTAGTTTTGAGGCAGGAGAAAAGGTTAAAATGAACAGGCAGAAAACTTGGGCTCCTTCAGGTCAGGTTTCTATTCAGCCAGGCTGAGAACACATACCAGGCCTCATCCAGGTCAGGCTGATTCCTATAGAAACAGAAAAAACTCATAGTGGACCCTCATCAAAACAAAGGGGCAGGGAAACATGATCAGACCAAAGAGCACATGAAGAGCTTGTGGACACTGAGTGCCTTTCCCAGGGTTGGGTAGGAGGCTAGCTTCCTTAACCCTTAGATTCATATAAACACTTAGATAATAGCTACTCTTCAGTATCCCTTTCTTGGATTCTCTACCCTTTGGGAGTCTGCTTTCTTTCTATTACTCTAATAAATTCTGTTATTTTGCTCTCACCCTGTGTCCATTGATTTCACTCTTCAAAGTCATGAGACAAATTCCCTCCATGCTAACTTCAGAGGAATGGCAGGAAGGAAGCCAGGCTAACACATCACTATCATGCAACTAAACCCGTGACTCCTAAAGTCCTCTACCAACAGTTGGAAGCAAATACAGATGCCTGAACTCACATATCGATCTGTCCCAAATGAACAGCTCTCTTACTTAAGATTTTTATATTTAAACAACTATCTCAGGTCCTCTTATCAGCAGTTCTTGTGGAAGCAAACTAGATTCTTGGTTCTCAACTTGTCTCAACCAAAGAGATTCTTGTTCTATCTGTTAGAGTGCCAAGTAGATTAGGAAGAATAAGTGTCATTAGTCTAATTGAGAAGAACCAGAATAACCCACAAATGACTTTCTGGACACCAGGACTTGTGGCCTGGTCAGAAGCAAGCTCATTTGAACAGATTTCTCAGTGACTGTGGCTTCTTCAGTAGCACAGCTGAGTCAAATTACCAGAATTAAAAAGATAGAGACTTACAGCCTTAATCTTGGCTTACAGCTATCTTTTCCCACAGACAATCATTCTAATGAGAAAAAGACAAACTGCTGTGGACATCAGAGCTAACTAGAATCAGGAGCAGATGGACTGCCTCTGAGATTTTTTTATTTAACACATTTTTTTTTTTAGTTGTAGATGGACACAATAACTTATTTATTTATTTTTATATGGTGCTGAGGATTGAACCCAATGCCTCATACGTGCCAGGCAAGCGCTCTACCACTGAGCTACAACCCCAGCCCTGCCTCTGAGCTTTGACAGAGCCATCTCTCTTCATTTCTGTCCGGCCCTCTTAATGTACTAAAATAAATGGTAAATAAATGGTTACCTATGAGACTCATGCCCTATTGAGTCCAGGGAAATGGAAAAACAAGTCCAGACACTAAGTCAAATAAATACATTCACCTAAGAAAACAGAAGTTTATGTGACGCCATAGCAACACAGAAGAGCAGCTAGTGACATAAGAGCAAAAGGCAAGAACAAAGGAATTAAGGAAAATTACTTTCTCTCTCTCTATCTCTCTCTTTTTTTTTGGTTTCCCCAGCCTGCTACTCATGCTTTGAAATTTGACCCATGCTAATTTGAAAGTACTAGAAGGACGTAAGTTATTTTGGTTCTGTTAAGGAGCACAGCAATGAAACTACTCATGGTACTTTTCTCCAACATATTCCAGGAGATTAGCCAAAACCATGTGCTGGAAATATGCTGAGTGCCACAATCTTATTAATATGCAATGAGATTCTATTTTTGACAGCTGGTGATACTGGCCTACCAATCAGCAGTACAAATACAACTAAAAATTTTGGGAAAAAAATATGAAAAGGAAGGCAAAATAAACTGAAGCTTTACTATTACTTTAGATTGGGAGTTTAAAGGGAAAAGAAAAAGTAGAGGGACTAGTATTTAAAGGAAAAGGGCCTCCCCCAGGTTGGAGTGGAAAATTACTGAGAGATGGACAGAAAAGAGGTCTATAAATGAAGGAAGCTGTTACCAGTGTGCCACTTCTCTCTAAAGAGGCCTAACCTGTTTCTGGTCAGAGTCTCTTGAAGAAAGGACCTAGACATAATATAGCAACTTGAGCAATGTCTGGCCCAGTTTGTCAGAGGGGCTGCAGACATTTATCTCGTATATAAAAATAGTGATCACCAGAGATTGTTGTCTTCAGTGTAAAATTATTTTTTTGAAAAGGCAGAGTATATACAAGCTATTTTAAGAGACAGTGTCTTCATTAATAAGCAGGAATTAAAAACCTCCTCCCAAGCCAGGCACAGTGGCATATGCCTGTATCCCAATGACTCGGTAAGCTGAGGCAGGAGGACTGCAAATTCGGAGCCAGCCTCAGCAACTCAGTGAGACTGTGTCTCAAAATAAAAAACAAAAAGGGGCTAGGGATGTAACTCAGTGGTAAAACACTCTGGATTCAATCCCCAACACCAAAAACAAAAAAACAAAAACCTCCTCCCAGTAGCTACCTTGACACATTAAAAGAAGACCAGGACTGGGATATAGCTCAGTGCTAGAGCACTTGCCTAGGTTCTTGAGTCCCTGGGTTGGATCCCTAGCACTGTAAAAAATAAAAAGACCAAATCTTAGCAGTTTATCTTTCACTTTGGTAGTGAACTTGGTGAGTTATTAAAATGACTAAGAAGGAGATACTACTGAAGAAGAAACTGCAATTATTGAACAGAGAAGAATTTTGAATATTCAATCTGAGTCGTCATATCCTTATAAAGGTGGAGGCATACACCTCAACTTTAGATGATTTCAGTAACTTCATTATTCCTGCAGGTTTTGGAAGGAGATGACTGACCCATGTAATGGACTCATCAGCAGAGATTTTAGAGGAAGAGTAGGGAATTCTGTGATCTTATTTCCAGATCACCCTGCTGTCACATATTTGGAATTTGCAGTACTATAAAAAAGTATGTAATGGAGGAAATGACCTTGAGTATCAGCCAGAAATATTTGGGTTAGACATAAGGAGAACCTTCCTATCTATAAAGTTATGAAATTTGGTACCCTGTTACTAAAAGATGCCATTACTATACAAATTGCATTTATCTTTGGATCAGATTTACTTTTGTTTCTAAAAACTTGAAGTACTATCCTAATTACAAGACTGCAACTTTTAAGACTGGTTATCTGAGGGGCTTGTAAAAATGCTTATATCTGTCAGGCACGGTGGTACACTTCTGTCATCCCACCTACTCAGGAGGCTGAAGCAGGAGGATTGCAAGTTTAAGGCCAGCCTGGGCAACTTAGCAAGACTGTCTCAAAATAAAAAAATGAAAAAAGGACTAGGGATGTAACTCAGTAGTAGAGCACCCCCTAGGTTCAATCCCCAGTATCACAGGGGGAAAAAAAAGATGAAAGCAAAAAGAAAAATGCACAAATCTGGGTCCCACCTCAGACCCAATGAACCAGACTCTTCCATGGAGGAGTCTAGGAACCTATATTTTTAATGAGTAACCCAAGTGATCTTCTAATCAGGTAGGTTTGAAAAACACAGCTCTACGCCTTGCTTACAGTAATGCAAAACCATAAACCCTAGAGAGGAAATGAATTTGAAGAGAGGAAATTTGATGACTCATAAGCATCTCAAGACTGAGTTTTGAAAGCTATAATTGTAGGGGAAAATGTTGAGTGCAGTTGAAGCTGAAGCAAGGCGGGGCATGGTGGTGCATCCCTGTAATCCCAGCGACTCAGGAGTTGAGGCAGGAGGATTGCAAGTTCAAAGCCAGCCTCTGAAACTTAGCAAGGCCCTAAGCAACTTAATGAGACCCTGTTGCAAAATAAAAACTAAAAAGGAATGGGATGTAGCTCAGGTAAAGCTCCCTTGAGTTAAATCCTCAGGACCAAAAAAAAAAAAAAAAACAGCTGGTGAAAGTGTTCTCAGCATCTGATGCATGCCATTAGCAGCTTGTCCCAGGCCCAGCCTCATTTCACCCCTGGACTTCCACATCAACTCTTTATTGCAACTTTCCCTACAGATTCCCTGATAGATCTTAAACTGCAGATGTAATCCAAAGAACAAGAGATAGATGTGGCAGATTGTTCCCAAGTACACAGATGACACTGTAGGCAATGGATATAAGAGATAAGACTCCAAGCACAACACAGTGGCACAAACCTGAAATCCCAGCAACTTGGGAGGCTGAGGCAGGAGGATCACAAGTTCCAGGCCAGCCTCAGCAACTTAGCAAAAAAGCCCTATCTCAAAAAAATAAAAAGGGCTGGGATGTAGCTCAATGGTAGAGCACCCCTGGGTTAAATCCCCAATACCATTAAAAAAAAAAAAATGAGAGAGAAAACTCGAAAGTGGTCCATTAACAGTCCTGTACAGACATAAAATCCAGCCACTTACCCAAAGCAGAGAGTCTTTTCAGCAAGCCAGCTTCTCTAACAGCAGCTGGACCATATTCCACTCCTTTTCTTTTCTGCAAATCACACAAATTACAGTTAGATGGAAGGAAAGATGGGGGCAAAACACACACATATAATTTAGTTCACAAAAAAAACCCCAGAAATCTGCAATACTACACTTGGTTCCTAATAGACTCCTCTGAAAACCTGACACAGCATCTGTCCTTCCATCTATTACTTCCATCTATGAGGTCTGGCCATTTTATCTAACCTTTACACTGGGAAACAACTCCATTCCTTGGATTAAATCAACTTCCTCCTGCGACAAGGGTCGGCAAAGTCCAAAACAAGGGAGGGGCTGAGACAGGTTAGGATCTGCGGGTTGGGTGTGTGTGGCTGTGGCTAGCTGGGGCCAGGGATCTGGCCACTAGTGAGCAAGCCCTCTACGACTGCAGGTTTCTTTCACTGAAGAGAAAACACAACAGCCCCTCGGGTCCTCCCGCCCCGGGAGAGAACAGTGCCAATTTCTTTCCCGGTTAATGCTTTCTGGAAGAAAGGATCCTCTTCGCACCTCCTCTCCGTCGATTTTCCACCGGGCATTGTGGCGGGTTTCGCCTTCCTCGGCGAATAATTGTAGGGGAAAATGTTGAGTGCAGTTAAAGCTGAAGCAAGGCCGGGCATGTGGTGCATGCCTGTAATCCCAGCGACTCAGGAGTTGAGGCAGGAGGAACCCTCTTCCTCCTTTCCTCCCTTCCATCACCCCAGGCTGGGGCTACCGTTCTCCCGCTCTTTCTGGGGAGGCCGCAGAAGCCCGCCCTCTCGCTGCCCACGGCCCTCGCACCATCCATCCTCCCTTCGCTCCCTCTTCATCTCGGTCCGGCTAAATCCCACGCGTTCTCCCGGTGCCCAATCGCAGGAAACCGCCGGCTCTCGCCCTCACCGTTGCCCCAACCTCTCCTTGCCTCGCCTCCGGGCCTCAAGCACCCCACCGCCGCTTTCTCCAGTTCTGGGAGCCGGGAAATCCTGCCCACAGTGTCGGTTCCCAGCTCTCACCTGTCCCTGAGAGAAAGGGGCTCCTATCACAGCCACAGAGTGGACGGACTTCTTCAGGACAGAATGCATTTGCGTCCGAAGAAGACGCGAGAAACTGCCCCTCAAGGACATGATCAGAAGCGCCGGGAAGCCAAGAGAGAAGCGAGTCGGTGCTGCTGGCAGCCTCGAGTGGGGGCCACCGACCGCCGCAGAGCTTACCTATAGGCACCAGCCGGACCGCGCCGCCCCGTGACGTCACCGCCACCTAGGCCCCGCCCCGGCCACACCGCCCGCGCCCCCAACCAGCCCCCGGCACACCTTCCCGCAGGCCCCGCCCACTGCTCCTCCGGTTCTTGGGACACGCCTACGATGACATCATTCCACCCTGGAGCTGGCTGTCCCAACCAGGGACACGCCCCTGCTGCTGACGCCCGGAAGGCTGTATCAAGGGCCGGCCAATAAAAGCCCAGAGACAGACAGGTGTGTCCTTTCATGTGAAGTGGCCCGCCCTCCCCGAGTTCATGAACTCGGTGGAATACACGAACTGACAGTCTCTACGACCTCGCTTTTCCTGCAAATACACGCCCCTCAGTTGCTAACTCTGCCAAGGGTTGGCTGGGCTGCGCCGTCCGGGGTCTGACTGGACCCCACACGATTGGCTACGCTAGACAAAGCCAGCATCCATCTGCTTTCTTCCATCTCGAAGCTCAAAGTCCTGGCATCACCCCACCTTTGGGCATCTACGACTAGAAGATCAGATGTAGATTAAAGCTCTCTGACTCCGGCATGTTAAGATTCACCTACTGTATGGCGAGGTTAGAATTTATCAAGCAATTACCTTCTAGATGTTTTCAATTTGTTGCGTGAATATCGGGAGCACTGGTTATTAAAAACCAAATAAACCAATGTATTCGAACTATTTCTAAAGTTGAGGGACGCTAAAGAGCTGAAAATACTGACTACTTAAAGTTTTAATAGCTAATAACAGTATTTTAGCTATTAAATGACCGACCTAAATTCTAAGAACTTTAACCCTCCGACAATTCTACAAAGAAGGGATTATATATATAT